GGGGGGGGGGGGGGGGGGGGGGGGGGGGGGGGGGGCAGGGCATGGGGTGGAGATTTGACTTTTTTCCAAAATTTGCAGTCAAATTCCCTGCCCACGGGCAAATCATTCCAGTCAAATGCAACCAAATTTTCCCACCCCAGGCTGCACATTGCTGTCAATCCCAAGGCAGAACACAAGAAAGGCACAATTAAAATATCTCCAAATAAAACTCTGCAATGTTTTATAAACGTTGCTGCATCACCAAAGATGCATGTTCCTGTTACAGCTGCAATTATACGTTTTAACCATAATCCATGTTACACTGCCTAGAATACATAAACCTTTAGGAGAAAGTCCACATTTTGTAAGTTTTAATATACCGTTTTAAGAAGGGTACAAAGAAAGTCAGTTTTATAAGTTTACCGTGATTGTAGCGAATGAGCCATACACTAATGAATTGTACTTGCAAAAATCTACTTGGTTTCTCTTTACTTCCGTCAGGAGCGCATCAACCTGCTTCCGTTTACTTTGATACTACAATATTTTACATGTAAGAGGTTCAATTGATCAAAAACATGCTAAAACAAACAAAATTTGAAGACAAAACAGTGAAATCCACTCAGCCTTCGCTTGTTCTCATTGGCCTCCATGACTTCCTGGCCCCGGTTGTTCAAACGTTGGATAGCGCTATCCAACGTTTGAACAACTAGGGCCAGATCTTTTCAAACCATCCGGCGCATGCGTGAAGAGGGGAAGCGGGAAAAATATGTTCGGTCTCAGTCTTTTTGGTCCGAGTCGGCAGTCAAATATCTCCACATCGGGCGAAGAAAGATTCAAATATCCCCTTCCCTGGGCGAACAAGATCAGTCAAATACCCTACCCCAGGGCCAACAAAGACAATCAAATCCCCACCCCATGCCCCCCCCCCCCCCCCCCCCCCCCCCCCCCCCCCTCCCCCTTTGGGGGCGTGGTATTTTCCCTTCCCCCATGCCCTTTTTTTTCCGGGGTTTTGTGGGGGCGCCCCCCCCCCCCGCCGCCCCCCCCGAGCGGGGGGGCCCCGCGCGGGCGGGCGAGGGGACCGCGCAGCTGGTGATGTATTTTATGATTAGAAGAATAACAAACCCCCCCCCCCCCCCCCCCCCCCCCCCCCCCCCCCCCGCTCGCCGGCTTTACATTGATAGGTGCATGATATTCAGCTTGTCGCAATGCCTTTCTGGTCACGTGGTTTGAGCGAAGCCCGCCCGACACGTCGAGCCTATCCAAGATGGCGGTACTCGCGGAAGTGCCTGAAAGTCTCAGCAGATTTGATTGAATTTCATAATAAGTGGAAGACAATTATGTCTACTTTAGCGGAGATTACGGGAGTAGGGCGCGACGATCTAAAAAAGAAGTTCCAGCTGGAACCTCAATTCCTCTATGATCCAAATCGTAGTGACAATTTGGCATTCATGTCGCCCTTAGTGCTTCTCAGGGACTCTGAGCTAAAACCGGGAGGATATCAAGATCATGGACCTAAGACAACCTTGGGGCGTATTGCAAAGGACATTTTAGAACCAGAGGGGCACATGCTTTTCCAAGTGCCAGAAGTGACTTATCTACACTTGGGGTACGGGAAGAAATCCGCGAATAAAAAAGGAAAGATGGCTATAAATGAGGTAGCAGCAAAAGAATGGAAAAGTTTCCTAAATATGTCTCGCTTTACCCCTCGTACTCCTGATGAAGAGGAGACCATGGAGATCGATTTTCCAACTCCTGCAGACACCCAAGCGCTGGAAGTCGAATCAACAGACGCTGGCAGCGGTGACCCTCGTATAATTCAACCTTTCGAGAGTGGATTGAAAATACCATTGAAAGGTCGGTACGTGTTATTGTTTTCGATACTTCTGATTTTTTTTGATAAGAAGAAGAAGAAGAGAGAGGAAGATTCTACTAGAAACGAAGACAAGATTGGGGCAAACAAGGTCTCTGATTTCCTTCTTTTCTGGATTATTCCACATCTACTTAATTTTAACCAAAGAAAAGTGCATGAGATAATTCAGCATCACCGGAGTAAGGAAAGTGAATTTCATAACTTTGTAGAAAAGTCTGCCTCTGACATTATTAAAGAGTCGTTTGAATCACCAGAATTTTGTGATGATCTTCAAGATGTCATTGAAAAGAAATACAGAGACTGTTATGGGGAAAAGATGGATACAAAGTATAAGTTGTTCAAAACCGAAGATGGTAGCCCTATCATTGTTGTGCCAAAGAATTACCAAGTAAAACAAATGCCAGCTGCACTTGAAGATATTGGTAAAGACTGGCGTAAAATTGGTGATGTCACTCTTCTTGATGACGTAATGAAGAAATTCATCAAAGATCCAGAAATCCAGATGGATTTCTTTCTTTCCATGCGAGACCTGAAACATCGACAGGGTATTGACTATGCAATAATTCTACCAGATGAGAAAACTTTCAGTGAACTTTTAAGTAGAGTCAGGGCTGAAAGTGCTCAAATTCTTACTCAAGTAAAAGGTTGTGGACGGAAACTCATTGCTCCAAGAATGGCACTGATCACAGAAACAAACAAACACTTGACGGTGTGTTTTTCTTACTTCCAAGGTAAGGGATTTCTCTTTGATGTAGACAAGTGATAAACATACATATAGAACCATGAAAAACTTATATAATCTGAAAGTCCCACAGATATTTAACACGAACATTTGAACGAGGCGGAGCATGATATCAAGAATTATGTAGGTCAAGGAGAGAGTTATGGTGGATAACAGCCTCTGAGATCTACTTAATTCTTCATATCATACCAAAACGTCAGCTCAATAATAAATTGTTTTATTATTCATGCAAAATGTTTTTAAGTTTTGTTTGGTTCACTCATTGCAAAACAGCAGCTAAGCTGCCGCGTTGCTGCCTGAAAACAAAGTTGCGATTTTACATTGGGCAATATTGTCCATCAAATTGATTGTATATATTACCTGTGTCTTCCAAATATGGCAAGAACTGGGTGGTTATGAAGAATTAGCTGGTGGAATTGAGCCAATCAGCATCAGAGAAACATTTTTGATTGGGTAGTAATAAGTACTGTTTAATCTGCATTGTAGAATGGCTTATTTTATTCTAGCACTTTTGGAACTGGCCTGTTTGTGTCATTAGGTAATTAATAATACCTAACCTAGGTGGCAGGCATTCTGTGAATGCATTAAAGGATGTAACAGATTTGAGTGGGAAAAACAAGGGATGGAAAATAACCAACAACTTAATTAAAGCAACAATTAACTAATTTAATAGGGGTATTGGCTTGCTAAAATAACTTAGGTGTTTAACAAAACAAGGAAGCCTAAAGAACATGTATACTGTCAAATAAACCTACTAGTGTCAAAGAATCACGATCAAGACATATTTAACACAAAATAGGGCAAACAAATCACACAAACCAAGAGCACAACATGATTTACTTTAATTATAATATATAATTAGAGTAATATTGACAATTGTTAATGGACAAAATGAATTTTAAATAAATCCAGCTTAATAAGCAGCAGATCAATTGCAAATTAATGCAAAGGCACAAGAAACTACATAACTGTACTATATCTTTCACTATTTATTTTTTATCATATTTTTTTACTGTTTTGTTTTAATCTGAGAAAAATAAGGGGGCATTGATAATAAAATTATTCTAATGCCCCGTTTTTAACAGTGGAACCTCTCCTTTGGGACAGCTCTATTCAAGGGACACCTCCATTCAGGGGAACAAGATTTGGTCCCAGGGAAATGCTTGTTTACACAATCTTTGTATTTGTTACCTCTATTAAAGGGACACCTCTATTCAGAGTAAAGGGACACTTTTTCTGGGTCACAAACCTGGGTATCCTACGTCAAAAGTGACTGACCACAAAAATTGTTGATAGGTTTAAGTGTTCACTAGTCACAGTTGTGATGGCTTTCAAAACATGAATTAACTCACTTCAATCAATGTACTGCATTTGTGGGAATTCATCAAAGAGATAAATTAATCATGATTTTTTCATACATTATCTAGCTGCTTGAGATAATGACTGCAATTCTGTAGCCTTCAAGAGCAGAGGCCTAATATTTATATTATTTTGTTGGTTAATTATTAACAAACCCTAACCCAGCTTCCATTCAAGGGACACCTCTATCTAGGGGACACTTGCCTTGGTCCCAAGGGTGTCCCCTGAATAGAGGTTCCTCTGTAGTTCTATAACCACCCTAATATAAAGCTTATTTTTCATTGGTAGGGTTACTGTTTGGGTTTTTCAGCAAAAATTGTTAATATCTCCTTTTACAATGGGTTTGTGAGTTTCTTTACAGTATGTCCTCATGTTTCTAATAAAAGTCTTACAGTCGACTCTCTCTTAACGGACACCTCTATAAGATGAACACCTCTGTAAAACGGACACTTAGAGTTGGTCCCTGCCTTTCTTTACTCCTTTTATTTGACTCTCTATAAGACGGACACCTCTCTAAGGCGGACACTTAGTGCCGGTCCCAAAGGTGTCCGTCTTAGAGAGAGTTGACTGTAATGACTCAATTTTGAAATAAATTAATTATTCCAGGATTTGGAACATTTATTGAAATTAATTTTAAAAAGCAAAAAACTAAAACTAAAACTAGTTTGTCAACAGACAATTTTGTTAAAATGTAAAATATAATTGTCTGTTTACAAACTAGTTTTTTGAAATATAATTGTCTGACTTTTTGTTCACAAATGAGTTTTTTAAGTTGCTTCACTCATATGAAAAATGCTGTGCAGTTCAAAATGAAATTCAGGTTACAATGGTGTCATTCTGGTTATTAGATACTTAATTTTAGTTATACTATACTAATTAATATAGCCTGCAAAACATCCATTTCTCCTCGCTCTTTGCTGCTAGGGTCGTTTTGCGTGGAGGAACGTCTGCGACTCAGCGACAGAAATTCCATACTCGTGACGTAAAATCTGTCCGGAATCCAGTCAGAAGCGCTGATTGGTTGACGGAGTAGTTACATTGTTTTAGCTATTGTTTACAAATGACAGATAAACGACAAAAGGCCAAAAAGGTCAAATGTAAATGCGAAGAATCTCTAACAAAAACAGTCAATATTTGTGGAACATAGTCTTCTCTAGAAGAAGCATGTGAGTTTTGCTGGAGCTCGTTGGCAGATAAGCACAACACTTTACCAAAATCGACTAGAAGACACATAAAATTAGACAAATTTATATTTGGAACCCCATGACTACCAGATTTATTATGTAAACATTGATTTGCATCATCAGTATGGAATTTCTGTTGCTGAGTCACAGACGTTCCTCCACGCAAAATGTCCCCAGCGGTGAAGAGCGAGGAGAAACGGATGTTTTCGCAGGCTATAATTAATTATTATATTATATAATCCTTTGCTTCTTAACACATTGTCTCCGGCAAGGATTTTAGTAAATTGACCATGTAACTTTAAAAAATCATATCTCAGCTGTTATTTCCAGTAACTTATAAAGCTATACCTCATTGGAAAGGGCAAAAATTAAACTTTCAGAAAAAAAATATTTCGGTCTCAGGAAACCCATAATATTCTGCAAAAAAAATTATAAACAAGCATATTTCTGTATAATTATTAAAAAAAATTTTTACGAGTGTAATTTTGCCAGGAAAGTGGTCTGTTTTGTGTAATACAGTACACACAATTTTTTTTCTTCAATATCTAAGCAAACAGCCTGAATATCGGTCGAAAATATAGAGCGACTAACAATTTTCTACAAATTTATTTTGTGACCGTATCGGATTATGCAAATGAGGTCAGAGCTAATTAGCATAGCGAAACTAGATACTTTAGCGTCACTTTGTGGCCCGATATTTACCTTCAAAAGACGCTTTATTTTTTAGTTTCTCAGCGAAATATCGAGTTAAAAACAGGCAAACATGAATTCACTGATATAAGTGATCAAAATAAGCAAGGCTTTGAAGGCAAAAAGCTCAGCGGGACGGAACTCACTGCGTTTGAAGAGAATTTGTTCCAGACATTGCCGACTCGGGGAATTGAAGGCAAAGATTCTTACTGTTTTCTTTCCTCGATTTTCGCGTTTGTTTTGCTTGTTATCCTCCAAAATCCTTCAAAACAATCTGCTTGACTTGCATTTGATTGAAATTTGTCGATATAAGCTTTCATTCTACGCAAAAACATCCCAAATACTTCTCACTACGCACCGCCATTTTTCTACATTTTTGAAAAATCGTTGCGTGAAGCTCAAAACTCGCAGGGGGCTGGAACTAGGCACATAATTAGCTAAAGCTTTTAACTTCCTGTGGGCCAAATTTGGAGGTAAGCGGAAGTAACGCGATTTTTTGCGATGTTTTTTTTCGTTGTCGATGTCGTGACATCGACGGCCCTAGTCGCCGGAGACAATGAGTTAATATGGGCGATGAGAAAATTATTCCACTTTTCCATTATTTTGTTTCTGGTTTACAACATTTGTAAGGGGCCCAGCAATAGACGTGACTTCATGGTGCATAGTTTCAGCTATATTATCCTTATAATAAATTAAGTGGTGGCACATTACTGGCTTGACTCTGTTACAATATGTTAATCAAACTTCAATTAAGCTCATCGTAAGTATCCTCGCTGTTCATCCATCAGTAGTTCGAGATTTGATTATAGTGAATTCAGTACTGATCTTATGTGGTGATATTGAAACATGGTGGCAGTGACACAGCTGGTTTAGGACCCTGGTAGAGTCTTAGGGGGAGTCCAATGTCGGAATCAGAAGAAACTCCAGAGGAGTCCATTGGCTCACAAGCTCCACATACATTGCTGTCTTAGCCGAGTGTTGTGATGCAAGCAGTTCCCCTTATCCGCTTATCCCCTTATACAAGGGATCACATCGCCAAAACTTCATTCATGGAAGACAACTACTAACATAGCTGGAAACTGGAAACAGTTCAAACAGATGTGGGATAATTTTGTTATCATCACGAATCTCACTGCACAAACAGAACAGTAGAGGGTCTCAGAGCAACTTGAGCTAATGACAGCAATGAATGCGATGACAGCTACGAGACTAGTGGTTAAGAATTCCTTGCTGTTATCGCAGTGGAACCATTGATCTATCCGGGCAATTGAGCAAACATGTGGTTATGCCAGAAAAATATACACAGAGATGATGATCAGTGACAAAACAATTAAATTTCAAATCGACTATGGAACTTCAATTAAATTAATATCATCACTAAATGTCACACCACAGGAAGTCACGTAAAACCATCGAACAAAACCGTGAAGATGTGGAATGGAATGGAAATTATGAAACCCCTCAGAACAACTACCTGCTTAAAGTCACGAATCCTAAAACTAGAAAGAAGTATTCATGCAGTTGAATTTGTTGTTGTTCCTGATGACTTGACACCGCTGACAGGTGTACACATAGCACAACAAATGGACCTGATAACTGTGTATGAAGATCACTTTGTCACAGTTCCACCTCCCCAAAAGAAGCAATGTGGAGAGTCACATCTGAAGCATTGCAACAGCTGACGAGCTAGTCTGACGAGCTAGTCCAAAGCTATCCAGAAGTTTGCTCGAAGAATCCTGGAACCCTACCTGGCACAGTCCACCCAAGAGTTGGTGAAAATGCTGAGCCCTCCGTAACACCTTCGCGATTGATCGCAACAGCCCTAAGAGGGAAGTTTAAAGCTGAACGAGACCACCTAGAGAATCTAGGTGTATTAGCAGTAGTAGATGAGCCCATGGCATGGGTGAGCAGTGTTTTTATCACAACAAAGAGGTCAGGCGCCCTCAGAATATGCATAGATCCACCTCCGTTGAACCAAGCCTTCGAAAGAGAAACATCAGCTGCCGATTCTAGACCTAATGCCAGAGCTGGCTCAAGCAAAGATCTTTTCAATGGTTGATCTTACCGCGGCATACTGGCACTGCATGCTTGATGACAAGTCCAGTCTCTTGCATGGTCATGACTACCTTCGCAACCCCCTTCGGTCAAGATACGGGTGGACTCCCAATAATTGGTCTATCACATGGTTCACACAGGCCTTCAAAAGTCCTTGAAAATTGAAAAATCGTTGGTTATCCTTGAAAAGTCATTGAATTTTCCACAGAAGTCCTTGAATATTTTTGAAAGCTCCTTGAATAAAAATAACCTTTTTTAAAAAAAAAAAATGTTCTGCTCAAAGGAACGATTGAAAGCACAGCAATACACAAATTTTCCTTTGTGATCATGAAAGCGATTTCAGTGTTCTTGGCATAGTTTATTTTCTGTTATTTGAAGTACCCTTTTAACTGTGCCTTAATGAAGGAAGATTTCGCAAAAAAAATAAGCAAACCCCCCTACACCTGCATATTTTAAAGGTCTTTACTTCCTATGTTATTGGGGAAAAAAAGTCCTTGAAAAAATGATTTTAGTCTTTGAAAATTATCTATCTTACTCCTCTCTAGGATAGACATTAGTAAGGGCTGGCCGGCTGGGTGCAGACACTTATAGACACTGTGTCCATGACCGACTGCATGAAGTCAATTTGACAAAACAAATTAAGAAGCCAGTAATTAATTTATGTGGAATTTCGAGGTTACATATATTATCTATCAATTGAAATTAACATACAGTTTTCTTTTTTTAATACTAGGTAGATTTTGCATACTGTCACATTAAATTTACAGCATCATCAGGCTTTTTATGCAGAATTAGGGTTAAAAAATAATTATAAGTATAATTTCGAGGTTGGTTACACATGTCCACGTTATGCATTCTTGAATTTGTGGGAAGTTGACAAGAGATTTGCTGTGTATTTGTAATCATATGTAGCGAGGTCAGTTCTTTATTGTACAATGTCTTGCTTTCCAAGCATTCCCAAATTCCTTTCTGTGAGACCTATACACTCACTCCTGTTGTTGATGTTGTTTCAGTAATGATTTTATTTTTTTTTAACGAATGGAATAAGAAGATATTGTTTTTTATTAACCCATTCACCCCTGAACCACCAGTGCGGAAACAGCTTTATACCCTTGTACTGCTTGTGATGTAATCAGAATGATACAGCCAAGTCAGAAGTAAAAAAAATGAGGGGGGAGAAGGGAATTCAAAGTAAAAGGTAAAAGATGAGACTAGAAACTAGAAATTTTGCTTTCTACACGTGCCCAAACTTCGAAAGCTGATATTTTGCATCTGGAACAGAAGCCAGCTTTGGAATCAGATCCAAGTATAAAACAACGTAAGTTTTAGCAGTTTTGGTGGTTAATGGCTTGCGTTTGACCAGAAAGTGGCTCGACTAGCAATTTACGGCAAACTTCCCAGGAGCATGTATATGGGTTAAGGAGGGGGACATTGGGGGTTCCCAATACTGCAATACCGTTAAAAATATTGGCACATACCAAAATACCGTGTTAAAAATTGACAAAATACCGATGATGATGATGATGAGAAAAACGGTCAAAAAGCCCGGTCATTGGATGCCCTTCCAATTTCATCATAGATTTTTTAATCATTTTACCATTAAGTATATAGTCTTAAAATTATATTAACTTTTATTAACCTGTTTTCCTTACTGTTGGTCAGTAGTTGCACATTGTATCGACCTGTATTAGACAGCAGGTGAATGCAAATAAATGGTACTGCAAAAATAACCATGAAGGATCTTCTTTTACCGAATACCGTTAACCAAAAGGATGAAAAACGGTATACCACAGGGCTAGATGATACTGCAATACCGCACATTAAAATCAAAATTACCGAAATACCACTCGCAACAAAAAAGCTCAATGCGATAATACCATAAATATAAACCCCCATGTCCCCCTCACAAAGAACAGTCAGATGCAGTGTAAGGAAACCTATCATACAGTAGAAGCCACCATTCATTACCAGTAGCAATAGTTCTCACTACATCAGCCCCTGCGCCTTAGACATTTGTTTTGAAATGTTTAGTCTTCTAATGTTCAATACATTATCTCTTTATTTCTATGCTCTTAGGTTATGCTCTTAGGTACTTATGACATTTGACAATAGTGATTAGAGCTAAGCACTAACTCTGAATGATTAGCTTTCATTTACCGTGAGGTTTGTCACTATAAATATGTAAAATGAAAACATAACTTGCAGATGAATCGACTGTGCATGGTGTAGTGGTATAAGAGGGTTTCGGTTTCTAGGACGTTGGGTTTGAATTCCGCTTATGCCACATTCAATCTCCTTTTTTTTTTTCTAAAAATAATTGAACGACTGAGAATTAGAAAAAGATTAGAAGAGTAGAAATTTGAAGAGACTTAGAAATTTCATGTAAGTGTGTACCTTATAAGAACAGAAGGTGGTTCTAGAGGATGGAATCTACGTAATGCTGGCCGGTCAATAACATGTTTCCAGAATTTCCCAAGACCGCCTTGCGCACATGCTGAAAGATTAACCAGGACCACCTTGTGTGCCTACTTTATTCAAATCAAGAAGATTTTGCATTATTACCATTACAACGAAATAAAAACGATACTTCTATCTAGCTATGTGGGGTAATTTAGGGTGCCTCCGCCCTCAGGTCTGCGGGGGCAAAAATGGTGAACTGACAGTTATGTCCTTAGCCTGTGAGCAAGCTCTCACTGCACAGCTAAAACAGTGTAGCCATCAATGCCTAATTTATTCTTACTTATATTTGCCTTTCCAGGAAGTGGCGCTGATGTGGTGGCTGCCTTGTTTAGAGCTATCGGAGCACATTATTTGGATCATTTTACCCTTGCCATATTGCATGGACTGTGTTTGAAGTTTGGTGATCCAGAGTGGGAGTTGAAAGTGGGAAGCCTGTACCCTGTCAAAAGTGCAAGAAAAATCAAATTCACACAGTACTCCTTGAATATGAAGCAGATGAAGGAGATGAAACCACTTGACTTCTCTGAGGCCCAAGGCAGATTCTGTAGAACTGAATTTCCTGAAACATATGAATCATTTGAACAAGCAATACGTGAGGACCTCCTCAATATAGGGGACATCATTTCAAAGGCCAACAAGACCCAAGAGGATGTGCCAATTGCAAGTGCTCCAAAGTTTGAGACAGATGAAGAGTTTACTGTTGGCTATTCCATTGCTTGCCAAGAGGGAAGGTTAAGGGGCATTCCCTCCGAAGTTGACAAGAGGTTGAAGAAATTTAAAATAAAAGCTGTGAATTTGAATGGGTGCCTGTTGTCAAGCCTTGCCAAATGTGGCCGTAGAAGCAACATTGGTGTTGTTTTAGCGATAAATGATCTTTGTAAAAAGGATGGCTGTTTGGTGCCAGTACGTCTTAAAGATGCCATAAGGAGAATCATAACCTATTTTGTCCAAGCTGTCATAGTTGCTGGTCTTCCAGAAGGTGAGTCTCTTGGTTTTTGAGGTAAATTTATCTGGCCTCAATTGCTCAAAGGCTGGATAGCGCTATCCACCGGATAAATCTCTATCCAGTGGATGGTGAAATTAGTTTCCCCAATACTTATCTGCTGGATCATGATTTATCCAGTGGATAGCGCTATCCAATGTTTGAACATACCTCAGGGCCTGTTCTACAGTAAACTATATAAACAGCACAATACAAATTACAGCTGTATGGCTGAAGCTACAATGACTAACCCTAAACTATGTGGTAGGTTTTAGCATAAGAACAAATTTTATACAGACAACAATATATTATGTCATGACTTACAGTGCATTATTATATAACAGATTCACTGTAAAAATTAAGAGCAAATTTTAGTCTGTTTATCAGTAGAACTAGTACAGTTTGCCTTTTAGAAGATACATGTAAATCAGCATTTTGATAATTAAGCTGAGACCTCAGTCATTCAGTTAATGGTGCTCCGATCTTTGTAAAATGGGTTTTTACTTTACATTCATACCAAGGGTGAAAGCAGCAGACTTGCCAAGTCTCACGACTTTTGAGTCTCACAATTTCACAGTCTCTCATGATTTGGCAACTGATTTCCCACTCTTTCTCGAAAAGACAAACTCCCAAAAAATTTTAATTTTTAATTTTTTTTTTTGTAGGGTTTGTTGCCAAGGTTAGATATCAGTATAGATATAGATATTGGCTCAATCCAAAGAAAACACTTAGCGGTCGCATTTGATTACATAATTTTTGCCACCAAATGTGCAGACGTTTTACTGTTTAATTTTTGTTTCTCTGGTTTCAAGATGGCCACTAACAAAACAACGGGCAAAACATAGAAATTATAAAACCCCTGAAAAGTAAAAAAATGATGTTTACTGCTCCAGCGTTAAAGTGATAGAGTAGCTTACAATACCCATAATATCCTCACTGGAAGTCCTTTCACTAGGAAATTTGGGACGTCTCATGACTTTTTACCCATTGTTGCTGCTTTTCCTGGTTCGAGGTTCAGAATCTCGCATTTTTTGCCTTTTTGGGGTTGGCAAGTCTTAAGCAGGGTTTAAATAACACATCTAGCAAGGAAAGGGCCAAGAGCATGTGATCAAATTGCATTGTATTCATTTCATTCATTCATTTAAAATGTAAGTGGATTAGTCCAAAAGGATGCTGGCTTTTTCATACGTGCCAGGCATGCATAATAGCAACCTGGAGGAAATCAGCTAGTGTGGTTGCCCCCAAGTAGTTTTCATTTAAAATAAAGTTAATTCCTAGTACTGATTTAGATGTTTACTTGAACATGTGAGACCAACTTCTGTATCATCTTGTATGGGTGGACAAGATTTCATTTTAAACGGGGTTGTGGCTTGAAGCTATAAGAACCCTCAGCAACACCACCATCAGCTCTCCTAGCTGCGACCATGTTGGTGATCACCATAGGCAAGGAGGAAAAAAACTGGTCATGTGTCAAGCCCTATTACTTCATAACTAATTTATTAGAAGTGTTTATCAGGGTCCTTCTAAAGCTAAAGTGAGATAGATGTTGTGGGTCAAAGTGAAGTTCGGGTTCAAATGGTTCTCACCTACATGTAATTTGCTTCTCAATTCTTACCCTCCTTTGTCTCCCAACCCTTATTATTCTGTTATGAATAATAGGTAGGGCGTAGCTGCCAGTATGGAAGTTCGTACCTGGAAAACAAAATAGCTATTAAAGGGACAAAAGTTAAGGCAAATAATTAAGGATAGCAGAACTGACGGTTTCCAGAATTTTATTGTCATTCTAATAAGCCGAAAACATAGTCATAAGTCATCCTCGTCAAAATGATTTAGGAGAAGTGCTGAAAGGGGTACCGTTGATTTGGTATCCTGCAGTATATGCATTCCTTCGGAAAATTTCTACCTACTCCATCCCCCGATTATCATCTACGGAATGTTACGCTGTTACCTGTGGCAGTCTGCTTCCAAGTGTCATCCTTATGTATGGTGGAATCTGTAAACTATGTATCATTCAGAGCGAAAAGGGAATAATAGGAAAAGACCGTCCTCGCCTCGAAACAAGCCAAAGTTCTGTTTATAATTACATGTAGGTAAGCAAACTGATGCCTGCAGTTGGGGTCATTTTGGATCAGTACAACTGTCAATGAGTTAATTCCTTTAATGTATGTGTACTCATGACTCACAATAAGGGATTTTAGTAGTTCACGTTTCATGCAGTGCTTTTAATCGCTTTAATTGCTTTTTTCTACCCAAAAAAATCCCTACTTTTTTTAGCATACCCAAAAAAATCCCTCAGTGTTTTTGCATCAGCAAATTTTATTATTTATCTTCTGGAAAGCTAAAACATGCCAACTTCAACTTTGGTTTTGGTCAAAAACAAAACTATAAATTGCGCTTATGTTATTTTTGATTTGAGCTGACGTAAAATACAATACCCGAAAAAATCCCTGTGTTGTTTTCGCGACCCAAAGAAATGCCGGCGTCTTTCATAGACCCAAAAAAATCCCTTTTGGCCAAAATGTCAGACCTAAAAAAATTCTTCGGACCCCCCCGTCATTAAAATATGTGAGTGGGGCCCCTGGGTTCTCTCCTTTGCTCTGAGAGGTTTTTCTCTAGGTACTCGGGTTTTCCCCTCTACTCAAAAACCAACTTTTCCAAAATTATTCCAATTCAACCAGGAATCAGGTAGACAAAGAGCCACTTTGTGGACTGCTACCTCCAAATCATTATCTATTTATTTAATTGAATAGGGGCCGGAGCTTAGAGGCTTTTAACATGCTACGTAGCATGTTAAAAGCCTCTGAGTACTTTATCCCTGATGGTGGGGGATTAAGCAATGTTTTTATGAGCAGGTAAATGTTATATTCCTCACTATGGCCCAGGGGTCAAGGTGCTTAGGATTCATTTCATTTTGACAGATGCACAAATTTATGTAACATACGTCCTGAACTGAATGTTTATTCTTTTTTCCTCATTATTCAGTTTATCCAGCTGAACCTGATGAGGTTGATAGGAGAGATATTGAATGCTCCACATCTGAGGATGAGGATGATGATGGGGAACAGATGCAAGTTGAAGATGAAGCGGCTTCAGCTTCTGCCACAGTTGCCAGCAGACCGGCAGCCACTTCATCTTGTGCAACTGAAAGGCCTTCCATGTTACAAGGTATTTCCTGATAAATGAATTTTTTAAGTTTTAATTTTACACCTTGGTGTATTAAGGAATTTCTTTAAGCAGCCTTCAAAGTTGACGTTTTAATGAAATCTAATGGGTGTATGACTACATTTCCTATCAGAGAGCTTAAGGTTTTAATGCCAGGCTGTGAGAGAATGGTTTCTTCTCCAGTGTCTTCCATAAGCATGCTTTCCCAGAAAAGATTAATGTGTAGAGGATGGAAGGGTGAAACACAGTTAAGACTTCGTTGGTGAATTGTTTCTTTTTTTGAGAACTCCAACCCTTTGCAAGCATCCTTTTGAACTGAACCTGTGTTAACTGTTCTGAAACATTGTTTTCTCAAACTTCTACAATGGAGATCAAAAGTTTTGGGACACTTAACCTGATACGACTTTAACTGACTCCCTTTGCCTCCTCTCCCCGGGGTAAAGTTGTATTTTGTGCACCCTATCTACTCTACCCAAAGCCATGTTTTGAAAAGTGTTATCGTTTGGGGGGGCATGAGGAGAGGGCCATCAGAGGCATCCAAACTATTGCAAAAGTGGATCTTATATGCTACAAGTCATTTGCATACATTTGATATGTTTATAGTTCCATAGGAGGATGGTTTTCAATAATTTTCCTTAGGATTTTTGTTGTAGCTTAAATACCCACTTACTCAACTGTTATTAAATTTCTTGTTCTTCAAATATATACCGGCATGACATTTGCTTCTTCAAAACGAGTGGTTAAGTTCAAAAACCTTTAATTTGTAATGAATAATTATGAAAATGTCTGATTTTGGCACTTGACCAATACATTCTTGTATCAGCATGTTAATATTTGTTTTTGAACAATCACTTCCCTGCATGCATGCTTTGTTTTTGAACTTGATCTTTACTTATAACATTTGATGAAACAGGCGCCTGACAGGGCCTGACTATATGATATACGTTGACATGCATGCAGGTGATGAAATGACTTTCTGCTCTAAAAGGATTTATTTGATGCAGCGAAGTGTAAACATTAAAGTGAAGGAACTATGCAGGGGGAAGTCTGCTAACATCTACCTATTTACTTAAAGCAGCTTTTGACCAAAGATTACAAGTCAGAGACTTCAATTTGGCTACTGTTTCTTACAGTTAAGTGAGTCATTTCTTTTAGGGGTTAAGTACTCTCTCAATCAAATACAGTAGCAGTGCACTCATTGACAAAATGCAAATAACGTCATATATTAACCTACAGTATCTCTCTCTAGTTAACTGGGCTGCCTGAGCCCAGATTATAAGATGAGCAGATTTCCTTGTCAGAAAGTGAAAACTATCAATGATTAGCCCGGTAACCCAGAGGGCATTGCGTGATCCTTGAAGCACGCTTGCCCATTTTCATAGATTCTGTTGATAGATTGATTTCTTTCTCTGACTCGCCTCTTTGGAGGTCTAAATTAGAATGATTAAAGAAGCTTGTCTAGTGAAAACTGGAACTTTGAGAATTTCGCACACACGTTCATCTCATAGCCTGATATGTCGAGAGGGCAAATAATAAGCGGCGAAGCTTCGAGAAGGCAAAGCTTCACCGGGAGCCTCAAATACGAACTTGAGAGAAATTGAGTACTTAGTAGGCAAGTTACTTTACTAGTTCAAAGTTTGGTGAGTTAATTAGCATCCTTGAGCTTTTAGTTGTTCTCGTATTTTGCTGAAAGAAACACTGTAAATGTACGGAGGTAAAGTAAAGTATTTTTAAAACGTGTATGTAGGGTTTTAACTATATAAAGATCAGGCCCGTATGGAGGGGGGTGGGATGCGACGGGTGCGCTCCCCCACCCCCACAGGCCACAGAGGTCCAATTTTTTGTTGATGAACGATTGAAAACAAAGTGAAATCATTTATATGTTTGTTAAAAGCCGCTCAACAACCTTAAGGGTTTGTACTCACAGTTTTCTGAATTGTTAGTTATTTTAATTATAGTGAGTAGGAGATTTGACGCTGGTCCTTGCTCTTTAGCATTACTTGCAAGATATTGTAGCTCCTATTAAAGAAGCCGTACTGTACTCTTGTAAAACGTTCCACTGTCACCCGGTCAAGAGTGTTTCTTGCATCAATCAACTCTAAGTCTTTTCATATAAATTAGAATTATGCAGGTCTTACGATTGGAGCGGGATAAATTTTATTATTCCTCCTTTTGTCGTAACGATTGCTACGTGGAGCAACATATTTTTTGTGTGTGACGGTGTGGCGAGTTGTGCATTTGTGAGGCCGTGTCATTTATCACTGCCATTTTCCAATTCAGGACTGTTAAGCAGCCAGTTACAAAGGGTGGATCTCGGATCCATTTGTGCTTGAAGGAGATGAAGGAATCAATTGTTCCTTTCTTGTGTCTTTGAGGACAGTTTGAAATATCTGCTGTTTCTTGTGACCAAAACGTAATATTTGCAGTACAAGGGAGGCCCTCGATCTTCACTGGCTCTTATCCACATCTATTATCTAAACAGACATTGTTCTGAAAAAAAGTCGCCGATGTGTTTGCTAAGAACCACCCCATGTAGGGCTTTTCAAGGATAATAAAATGAATAATTCAAATGGAACATGGTTAAGTATCCGAAATAGTAGAAGGTGAACCAGTTGGCTATTTCAAGCGTGACCAAGGATTTGAGAATCGGACTACCTACCGAGCTAGTGCAAATTTAGCAAGTGGTCAGGATGGGACTAGAGCACTAACCCGGCGCTGGGTAACGCTGTCTTCTTACTAATGCCTCTTATGTAATCACTGGATCATTATACGTTTCTGGGAAACTGCCCACCTACCCCTCCCCTAAGCCAACATTTGTCCCTAAGTGAGAAGTAAGTGTTAATGTTGGCAAAGAAGAGGTTAGGTGGGCAGTTTCCCAGAGAAACGTATGATGATCCATGATTTCTTTACAGTAAAACAAGGTACACCCTCCAATGAAGAACTAGAGATGTTGTCAGTGGATATTGCTCAGGGTTGGAAGGCACTTGGGCGACGGCTAGAAATCGATGACGCACGCTTGACTGGTTTTCACAAAGAGAATGAAGAGTACAGTGAAAAGCCATACAAAATGCTGTTGTACTGGAAGAACAAAAAAGGTAGTGATGCAACCTACAAAATATTGTATCACGCTTTGTGCCATGAACTTGTTAACAGAAAAGACTTGGCGGAGAAACTTTGTTGTGAGTGAACTTTGAATTAATATTTGTGTAGAGTAACAGACTGAGTGTAGTAAAAAGTAGGGTTACACAGAGTATGTATTACATGTAGTAATAATCGAAAGTGGGTAGTTTTTACCAGTAGGATATTTTTATATAAGCCCCATCGGTTACTGAAATAAGCACATTTTGAAGTTATGAGTAGACGTTAGCATCATGGAAGGCAAAGTCGCAAGATTAGAATGTTAGCCTGTTATCTTAACTTTGCCTGCTCTTTAGCTAGTTTTCATTTTTCTCTCATTTCCGTAATTTTTTTTTTTGTACCGGTTTAGTTGTAGCTCGCTAAACTGGTTACCAGAGGCATTTCCAGCTAGTTCCAACGCCTGCTATACTCGCCGCTTTCACACCGGCTCTAGCAAAATGTTACTACAGTAACAGCGAAACACTTGTAGTTTAAAAACCAAGAACGTTGTAGAAAACTAGTTTAAAATGAGCTACTTTTAATGTGCCTATGTAATTTGTTATTATTAGGTCTCAACTTGCTTTTTGCAGCTAGTTTAACTAGCTTTAAAATATATTTATAGCTATAGTTTTAAAATAGCAAACTATAATTTTAAACGCAGAAGTGTTTCAAAATACCGGTTCGTTGAGAAATCCTACAGGTCAGTTAACAAGTTGTGCTTCACTTTTGTTAGAAAGGGAATGGAATAATTATCATCATCATTATGATAGTGTCATTTTCTTAGTTTTACAAGAATCCATGGTGGTGCAAGTCTCCTATAAATTCATTTCTCCTTTAAACATAGCCAAACTTTGTTCTCTACTAGGTGTTGGCAGTTTCAACAGCTGTCAGCTATCTTTCTTTGATACACTGTCAACATCAGCAAAAACAAGTTTTGGCTTCCTTTTTCAAGAATTAATGTATTGATTTGTTACCATTTCGAGCCTGATTCAAGACTATACCAACAATGATTTTACTGTAAAAATCGTTGAATCAAATGGCATATATTACCATCTTGTTATGTAAACGACAGGCCATGAATAGTTACGTAATAGTTCGTGCCTCATGATTGTCAGTTTGTTGTTCTGCACAGTCAATCAACACCACTGCCTAAAGAAGATCAGCAATATAATAACAGATGCTCAAGTCAATAACATAATTCTAGTTAGACAAACGGTAAACAAGCCTGTTGTATATTTAATATTTTTAAATTAAGGTGGTCTCATTATCTTAATAAATACAAATTAAAATTTGTATTTATTAGTGACAGATATCATCCAGGTTCTTATTATATCTTTAACGAGTAGTCTAATATTTTTTCACCATGTATTTGATATTTTTGTAAGCAAATTTTAATATTTATAGTGGTTTAGTGAAAACTGAAATTGCTAGTCTAACTAGTTCGGTACCATTTTGTTGATATTTTTAAGCAACAAACGTTTCCATTGAAGAGAGGTAGTTAAGAATCCATTATATTATAAATACGATAGGCTACAGTCGGTTGAAATTTAGCATGCCCCATGCAAGGGAATCCGGTTTCCGGAATCCGGGAAATTTTTGCTTGTAGAATCTGGAATCATGAGCTTTGGAATCCGGAATACAGCTCAAGGAATCCGGAATCCAAGTTCTATAGCCCAACCGGAGGAAGACTGGAATCTGTCTTGGATCCCCTTACATGGGGCGATTTAGCGCACTGAGACTGGTCTGACTCGTCGTTTCCTGTGGGTATAATGTCATTAATAATAATTTAAATAATCAAAAATAATTTAATTTAAAAATTTGTAAGCGCAAGTTTCTATGTAGATATAATCAAATGCACAATAGATAAAAGCAGACGATAACTGCCTCAAGAAAAAAATGGTTATTTTTAGATATATTTTTATGAATGTTAATAATATTATTTATAAGTAATTTAAGAAGGTCTTGTCTAAATGGTTTTGAACCATGTATATGTAATGATAGTGTAGTTACGCGGCGTTCGAGTTATGCACTTATCAGCGGCCATCCCGTGGGGTAACCCCGGGGACATACGCGGGCATGGCGCGGGATTTGTCAACTTTGTTCGATTTTAAGCCCGGGATGGGGGGATTGGATTGCTTTTGCACTTTCGTCGCAGGATCCCCGCGAAAAGACCCGCAGGATTTGTAAATATCCATAAATATTTATAATATAAAGCATTTTGTTTCAAAATATATTCAAGGAATCCTAGTTCTTCATTACCTGGAAACAAGAATATTCTCTCCATTCCATGACTTAAAAGGTAAGCTGAACCTCATCATGTGTAGAAAACAAGTGGGATAGCTTTCTTTACTTATTTTTAATCAACTCTTATATGTATAATTATAGTAAAAAGGAAAATAAATTATGGCAAATAGAACTCTTTTGAAATATTGCCCCTTTGGACTTGAGAGAGCACACTTCTTTGCACCCAGGGGAGGGGCGTTAATAGCTTTTTGTTAAACAATCTTGGTTTTGGGTAGCGGAATTTTGTAAACGTCGTTGTGCAAATGACCGGGGGTTCCCCTGAGTCACCCCCCGGGATGGGCGCTGATAAGTGCATTATAAATAGAGTCCTTTAAGTCACTTCCAAGGCGAGGACAGAAGGTTTTCTCACTAAATAGTGCACGCTTGTGAACTAGCGTCATTTTTTAGGTAAAACGTAATAGCCGTCGTCATTCAACCACGGGTTTTGGTGAAAATGTCGTAGGGACTGAAACAAGTCATGGGATTTTTGAAGTTCTATCATATTGCGATCGGGCGAGGGCCTATAAACCTCCTTCAATAAAAATAATCGTTGTAACTGTTATGGTGAAAAAAAGGACAACGAAGCTTTCCGGGGTGGCTACTTTATTTTGAGAAGACGCGAAATAACAAAAGCCTCGTCAAATCTCCTCGTAGGCGTCCTCGTCTTCGAATTTATGGAAGTTTCGTGACCAGTTTGACTAGTTATGCAATCATTACATTTTTTATGATTACTGTAAGTTTGTACTTTTCAATTAACAAACTATCATTCTAGATTTATTATTACTGAGAGTTGATGATGCGTCAATAGGATTTTAACATGTTTTGTAAATAGTGAAATCCGTGTCAGTAGACTATGTATCGATACTGAATAAAAAGTATTGTAAAGCTATCGAGGGACGAGCTGAGGCACTAGCTAAAGAAAACTTGTAACCTAACTGCGATAGCTTTTTCTAGATGCGGTTCAGATAGCGGGGACGGGGTAGCCTGCAAGCCATCCAGAGGTCGCCAGCAGAATTTACTCATATGTAAGGACGGTAAGGTGCTCTGCCGATCGGTGAAGTCACATACATAAGTAAAGCCAATAGAGTACTAAAGTGTGACGTCATAAAAATGAAATTTCTGAAATTATGGGATTTGTCAGGATATTCTGAAAGAACAATGTCCAAGAGGCCTACTTGCCAAAAATGAGCATTTGGGGGCAAATTGTCTCTGAGATCGTATCCCAGTTATGCTTACAAAACTCCATGCAAACCCTTCTAAATTTTTTTTGGGTCGATCCAAAAACAAATTAGAAGGGTTTGTATGGAGTTTTCTGAGTATAAATGGGCTACGATCTCAGAGACAATTTGCCGCGAAATGCTCATTTTTGGCAAGTAGGCCTCTTGGACATTGTTCTTTCAGAATATCCTGACAAATCCCATAATTTCAGAAATTTCATTTTTATGACGTCATCACTTTAGTACTCTATCAAAACTATAGAATCGAACCGTATGCAATGATCCAGTTGTTTATTCGTATTGGAACCTTTATGATAGCTCCATACCCAATGTGTTTGAAACGCTTAGCTGCATGAAACGGTTGCTACGAGGGCTAACTTCACTCATCAACCGCAAAAGCGTAGGCTAAACTGCTTTAGCTAAGGGAATGCTAGTTAACCACTATTACTATCGTCTACACTGTTCAGTGAGCGGGCCAAAATTAAGCCGCGGGCCAACCAGTTTGAAGGCTGTTCCCCCTCACCCCCCCCCCCCCCCCCCCC